TTATTATTATTATTATTATTATTATTATTATTATTATTATTATTATTATTATTTGGATAATATTCTTTGACGATAGTATTTTAAGTTTTTGAAGTATTTCAAAGTAAATTTTTTTAATTTTTATGTATTTTAAATTATATATTAAACTTTAAATTTAAATAATTATATAATATAATGTAATATAAATATACAATATAATTTAAATTAAGATTGTATATTTATAATTTAAAGTAATGTTATTTTATATTAAAACACAATATTTTTATAGTAATTTTTAAACAAAACAAAATATTTTTTTTTATATCGAAACACTCGTTGATATCTCATTAATTTGAATAAAAACTTATTATATTATATTATATTATATGTCTTTTGTATTTAAATTAATTAATATTTTAATATTTTATATTTAAATAAATAAAATACCCTCCTGACTTTTTCTATTACAAATCAAAAATATTTCATATTTTATATCTGAATAAATAAAAAGTATTTTGTTGTATTTAATAAAATATTTAATATCTTATATCCGAATTAATAACAATAATATTTTTTAATGCTAATAATTTGAATATTATTAATTAATTAATGATAAATATATTAGATTCTTGTTCGTGTATCTTTGTAAAACACCAAGATTGACTATGAATAAATTTGCTCTTTGTATTCAACGTTTGAAAGAATGTTTAACGAGAATATTTTGTTTGATCGTATCTTAAAAGAAAAGTTTAATTATAATACATCTTTTTATAATGTAAATTACTTTTTTCTTTTTTTCTTTTTTAACACTTTCTATGATTTTACAGGCGTTATTCATTATTATTATCATCATCATTCAATATATAATGTAACGAAGTAAAATTTTATACGAAAGATAGGAGAAAAGAACGTATTACTTCATAAAATATAATTTTCTACAATGGTACTTTGAGTAACTACTATCAAAGAATATTTTATTCATCGAATATCTAATGGTCTTTAGATTATACTTTTCTTTCCTACTTTTTCTTCTTTCGTCATCTCTTTCTTTTCTTTTCTTTTATTTTCTTTTTTTCTTTTTGTTCGTTCCTTTTTATTCTCATTCTTCTACTTTAAAAACTGTGAATCGTGAAAGAGATAGAAAATCCTAGCAGACAATTTACATAGTCGATTTATTTTTTCGAAAGAGTAAGAGAAAAAAAAAATAAAAAAAAAGGAAAGGAAAAACCCCATGCTCAAGCATTTTTCTAGCATTTCTTTTCACGAGAAACATAAAAAAAAAAAACAAGAAATGACTTAAAAGCATATTTTTACACTCAAACGAAACGCAAAATTTTTCAAGGAAGTATTTCGTCGAATTATATTTTATATACATACATATATGTAAGTACATACTTGTTTAACATAAGTATGAAAATCAAAAAAAATATTTTTTTCTTTCCTCTCTGTCAAATCCTACTTGAAACTTTTTCAATTTGTTCATTCGGAAATAAAGCACGAATGAATAAAAATTCAATGCTACCGTACGATATAAACTTGAAAAAGCTTCTACATTTATAATTTTACAATTTAAAAAGAACAAAGAAAAAAAAACAAAAAATACATGAATTAAAAATTTCGATTAAAAAAAAAAAAGAAATAATTAAAATAATTTGTTTTTGAAATACACATATTTAAAAATACATAAAAAAAAATAATAATAATAATAAAAGTTTTCTACACTAAAATAATATAGTTAAAATTTATTATATAAATATAATATAATAATTTATAAAATACATCAAAAACAAATAACAAGTGTTTTCATACTCTAATAATATTAAAATATATTATATAAATATTATATAATAATTTATATTACTTCCTTTAATAATACTTATATTGCAATAATTAATTTTTATTATTACTTTTGATACTTTTAAGACATTACTATATTATATTTTTCTTTAATATTATAATTATATTACAATTTTTAACATTACACTCGATTTCAAATTATCGAGAATGTTTAGTGATGATTAGCTACAAACGTTCCTTGTTTGTACGATTAACGACAATTATCAACGACCTGATGATTGAACGACAACGTGGGCGAGGAGGAAACTGTGTACTAGGTACCTGTTAATTACGCACTTAATGATCCCCGAATTAGGATTAAACGCTGTGGACCATTATAGAATGTTTGAGAAGTATACCGATAAAAGCAAACCACACGTGTACGCGTTTGAGTATCTATACAAATAATTATATATATTTTAAATCATTAAATGTTCCATCATTAACTTCCAAATTTCAGAGATTCCATGTATTTCATTGTTCTAATCAATGAATTTAATTATATATTATTTCAATTAATATTTTCTTCAACTATCTATTAAACAATTTATATTTGATATTTAATGTTAATGTAATCTAAATTAATTTTATATATAACAAAAAAAGATTTATTCTTGGTATAAAATACAAATATATAACGTATGTTTTAACAGGGGCAATTATTATTAACAAGAGTAAAACTTTTGCATAAAAAAATACGAATTTTTAATTATGTTTTATATAATATTAAGTTCAACGTTGTTAATCAACCACGGTGTTCTCCGTAGTCAGTTAGATGTGTCACGACAAAGTTACGCGTCATCATATAATTTAGAGAGTTAGAATAAAAAGGAAAAAAAAAATATATAAATAAATTATACGTAACAAAGTTTCTTCTCTCTCTCTCTCTCTCTCTTTTTGTTTTAGTACTTTTTTTATCATCACGTGGTTGGTATGTTTCACCTAATGCGTTCCTTTTTGTTTTGTTTTTTTTTTTTTACACGTATATTATTCTCTCGACACTTTTACGAAATATTTATCAAATTTCAAAATTTCTACTACTAACGCTATTAGAGTTATCCACAAACAAACACACACACGCGTACATTTATTATTTTATATAATTTAATAATAATAATAATAATAATAATAATAATAATAATAATAATAATAATAATAATAATAATAATAATAATAATACATTAGAAAACAAATTACCACAGAGAATAGCATTTGTGCATAAAAAAACAAAAAAACAAAAAGACATTAAAAGAATACCAGAGAGAGAGAGAGAAAGAGAGAGAGAGAGAGAGAGAGAGAGAAAAATATTACGATTAAAATTTGAGCTCATTTTCGCGTACTTATAACGAGTGGATAAGCTTATAAAAAAAAAAAATAATAATAACAATAATAAAGTAGTATAATTTTTCCAAGCAACCATAAATGAAGATGGAAGTGTTTGACGATAAGCAAAGCTTCTTTTTCTCTCTCTCTAACTCTCTCTAACTCTCTCAACTTTCTCTCAACATTTCAGTCATATATCTTAGCCATATGTATTACCATAGCAGGTGTATGTATAATAACCTCCCCCCAACGAAGGGCATCGATTTATATCACCGTCGTGTTAAGTGACAACGCCATTATTCTACTAACCTAACGCAATTCCTTGCGTCGGTTTTAAAAGCATACCTACCAACAACCCCCCTTTCCCCTTCGTATCAATGGAACATCATCACATCAATGTCATACGTCGAACAAGAGAATGAAAGATCCCTTTTGCTATCATTAAATATAATACAATCTTCCAGTTAATTATCTATCGAAATATTAAACCATAAAATAAGAGAAAGATAAATAGATAGATAGATAGATAGATAGATATATCATCTTCAAAAGGGAAAGGGAAGAATTGATAAAAGCTGTAATTTAATCTTAAGAACTTAACCTTGAAAAATAATATCTTACACTGACAATGAAAATTAATTAAATAAATTCATTATATCATCTTAATTCACGCCATATTAATATATTATTCATTATTCTTTTTTACGTATTAATTTCGTAGTAGATATTATGTTCGTTTTTTGAATGCTTTTAAATATAGGTTTATTCTGATTTCACGTGTGTGTCGTTCGTATAGTGAATTAATTTACGCAACCCCCTTCGGGGATTAGCTTCGCAAAATTAGTAGCTTATACATCAATCATCCTCTAGCATGCAAGAGCATGCCTGTAGGTAAACCTTGTGGGGGTGGTTTAGAGAAACCTACAACCCGTACGTAACACTATTCCTCTCTCTCTCTCTCTCTCTCTCTCTCTATCTCTCCTCGTACATTCCCTCAATCCTTACTCTCCTCCTTCAACTACAAATACAAGACATACATATATAATATATACATTTATATATGTATTATTGTATTATATAAAAAATAACTACACACTCTCTCCATAATACTCATTCAGCATCGTATTAGTAGCGAAATCGTATCTTCACGAGCTAAATTCTCTCTGAAAATTATTCGTAAAACGTTTGTTGTAGATACGATCAAAAGCTTGTGGCGAGAGGCAGGAAAATAATAAACCGGTAAGATATTATCAATAGTAAGTTCTTAGAGAACGTAACACATTATACTTTTGGAATATATATATATGTATATATAAATTTATATGTTTATATATAAATATATGATAAAATATTCAATTATTAAATCTTTAGAGAACGATACACACTATACTTGTAGCATACATATATATGTAAAACTCACTTATATCTATTCTTGTTTATTCCATTTTCTTCCTCATCTTTCAACACCTCAATTCTGTTACTATAATATATATATATATATATATATTGCTTTTCAATGTATTTACGTACAATAGTTGTCACAGTAGTTGTCATACGAATCGTCTTATTTTCCTCGGTAATACCCTATATAGTACATATATACTACTACGTTAGTTGAAAAAAGAAATGGTATGGCGAAGAATAAATATTGAATCTTATGAGAATAAAGCAAAGAAAAGAATCTTCTTTAAATCTTCTTGGTAATCTAAAATTCGTTATTGAGAAATAGAATTCTAAGAAGAGACTCTCGAGAAACGTCATGGTAAACTTCGAAGTATAAACGTTTTAAATTTGATATATTGTTAAATAACATTTTTCCAATAATTTATTTATATTCGTTTGAACAATATATGTGTTGGAATATTGTAAATAAATAAAATACTAGTGTGTTGTTTATTCAATTATAGAATATTAAAAAGTATTTTTGAAAAAATAAAATATACAATATTTGCAAAAATATCCTATTGACCAACTTATTTATTATAATGTATTATTATATGTTTTATGCACATATATATGATACTTAGTAATTATCGATAATTACAAAACTAATTTTAATTTCAATTAGATTTGATATAAGATATAAATGAATTTATAATGGAACACGCGTTAATCAAATCGTCAATTTGATTTCGGTAAAATCTTCTCATTAACAACTACCACACGAAGTACTTGCAAGAATCCAAAGTGAATGGAATCGGAGGGTGGGAGTTAAGAAACGAAAGGAAAAATAATTGCTTTGGGATAGGACGCGCATAACTCGTCAAGATTTGGGTCAAGTAGTGGGGAAAAAAAAAGGAAGAAAAAAAAAAGAGAAATAGAAAAATAGAAAAAAAATATAGAAAGAAAAAAAAGAAAAGATAGGTCAGCTTGATGATAAAGTTAGTGTATGATCATCGTAACTCTATTTTTGTCACTCGTCCTACGAATCATATATGAGAATTTTAATAACCCTCCTACTCATAGTACATGTATATATATATAGAGATTTCTTCTATTTTTTCTATTTATTTTGTTCGATACATATTTCATAATAAATATTGACAGTTTAAATATTAACAAACATTTTATCGATTGAATTCAGTCGTACATATTTTAAATGTACATACATGCATACCGTACATGACGAATCGTTTTAACGTCAAACCATTTTTTTTTCTTTTGATACTATTTACGAAACATTTTTTTTCCTCCCTTTTAAACAAAAAAATGTCAAATCGATTTAGACAAAAATTTTCATGATCATTCTCCATATCAACGAAAAGAACGAGGATGATAGTCAACAATATATGGATCATTTAAATAACAAAAATATGAAATGAAATTTTACTTTCGTATTTTATATTCCTGATCGTAAAAAAAAAAGAGATAAATAAAATAAAAGATAGGGTGGATAGGGAGAAAATGCGTAACGAATCGAAACAACACACATGGACTAACTGGGCTATGTGTCATACGAGATGTGGACATATACACACCTGCAAAATTCGATAATATATCATCGCAACGTTGGTATTACATCGAAATATCCCCTCGTGATTTTCACAATACATCGACGTACATTATTATACCTGTATGCGTTAGGAACACAAAGGGAAGTAACGTAATTCCGAATTCAGAAGCTTGTTGTGTTGCTTTTGCTTTTGCGCTTGTCTCGCTACCTAAACCCAACTCACGATATAAACTCAGCTTTGTTGATTCTGACGTTCTTAATTTTTTAATAATACAATCTTGGACAAAGAAATTCATTCATTTTTTCTTTTTATTTCAATCATCATTTCATTTCGATCGAACAAATAGTTCAGGGATCTTTTATTATGTTAGAATCGTATAAGTATAATTTTTAAATAAATATTTCAAATAAACCCATAAACACGATACACAACAAAATATCATTACCAGATAAAATCTAGAAATCAATAAAATAAAAATAAAATGTTATTACTTTGTTTATAATGTTACAGTGTAGCGGTAACGCAGTGAGATGTTTCGCCGGTGGTCCACGTAAAAGCAACGAGTCACAGTGTCCAATGTTGCAAAAACCAATATTGTCATCATCGACGACAACGATGACACCGTCTATAACGACGATGTCAAAACCAACGGTGATAAGAAATCATTTGAATAGTACGTGCAGCGTGACTAATTCACCGCATCACAAAAAATTAAAGTTCCATTTGGCAAAGGAACGTAAAGCCAGTACAACATTGGGAATCATAATGAGCGCGTTTATCATCTGTTGGTTACCATTTTTCGTCTTGGCATTGATAAGGGCATTTTTAACAGACCCCGAATCTGTACCATCATTTTTGTCGAGTCTTTTCCTGTGGTTGGGTTATTGCAATAGCCTATTAAATCCAATTATTTACGTAACATTGACCAGAGACTTTCGCAAACCATTCCGTGAAATACTTTGCTTCCGTTGCAGCAGCTTAAATCACATGATGCGTGAAGAATTTTATCAAAGTCAGTACGGGGATCCTGTTAACAATTATGAGATCAAACCAGGTGAAACAGAAAGCGGTGATAGATTGGACGATCAAGGAGTAGTAGAAGCCATTGACGTAGTAGCCAACACTCCTAATGAGAGCTTCCTGTGATCCCAGTGAATTCTTATTTTTCGTTGACTAGACGAAATTTGTTTCTCGAGCTTCCTAACTTCTTCTTCTTCTTCTTTTTCTTCTTCTTCTTCTTCTACTTTTTCTTTTTCTTTTTTTTCTTTTTTTTTTTGTGAATCTTTTTATTCAATAGAATGACGACTAAAAAAGTCCTTCTTTTCAACTTTTTTATCCAATATCGATAATCGATTTTTATTTTTTTTTTTTTTTTTAAGGAGGATTAACATTCGAACTTTATTCGAAATTTTTCATCCTTTTTTTTTACCCCCCACCCCCACCTCTCTTCTTCTTTTACTGATACGTAATCAGAAAAATGTTGTTAATTTATTTGCATATACGATGAATCAATGTTTTTCGCATGAATCAATTTTTTTTTTTAAATTGATATTCAATTATTCGTATATATCTGATTATGAGATTACATATTTGAAGATTATTTCAATTTTAACAATTGTTATTAAATTTTATTGCAGCAGGGTGGGGTGGGGGAGGAGGATGGAGGATATGCATTGTACTTCGTAACTTCGTATTGAAAATTTATTTCAACTTTTGCAATATACTTTTCAATCATAAACGGAAATAGAAAAGAAAAAATTTTCAATAATCTTGATGTAAGATCTTATCCGAAGGACTCTCACTCTCAAACGTTCCTTATTGTTAATGGAATAGAAAAAGAATAAAAAAATAAAATCGTGAAGTCAAAAAAAAAGAAAAGAAATAGAAAAAGACAGGAGAAGTTTTCTTGCGAGTTTGCGAACCAACAACGTTCTATCCGTTGGTTCTAGAAAAGAAGTTCCTAAAAAAAATAAAAAAAATAAAAACAAGAAAAAAGAAAAAATAGAAAAGAAGACTTGCAGAAAGTGGTGTAAAGTGAAAGATAGCGAGAAAGAAAGAAAGAAAGAGATAGATAGATGGAAAGAAAGAGTGCCTATAGCATATCCAATGTTTTTTCTCTCTCACTCACCCACCCACTCACTCTCATACTACTTTATACCAAATCTTGACCAGACATCTTAGGTTTTTTTCCGGATTTTACCTCTACTTTCATCGGTCTATCGTGTTCTCAACGTTGAACATCTTGCTTGTTCTCCTCCTCGTGTCTCACGATTTTCTAACTCAACTTTTTATCTCACACGTGTGGTAAGAAGAAAAATATCTTAAATCGTTCAACGAGAAAATAAAAATAAAATAAAAAAAGAAATTAAATATCTTATATTTAATTATATTTAATATATATATATATATATTTATTTATTTATTTATTTATTTTTTATTTTATATAAATAAAGATAAAATAGATTTTTATTTTAAATAAAATTAAAAAAAATCGTGTATAGATTTTGAACAATATATCATCATCTTCTTATCGAAAAATATTTTGTCAATTTTTTTTTTATTTTTTTTTTTTCTAATGAAATATCAATTATTATTTTTATTATTATTATTATTAATCAATTAACCGTTGGATATCTGGAACGATAGGATTTATATTCTACCGTGTTGAAATTTCAATAAAAGCTTCGTATTATAATAAATGAACCTATATAACTTTAAACATGCATTAAAGATAATACTTTTTTCATCGAAGTCATTTATTGTTCGTAAATACTTAATGCATACTGTATGTATATGTAAAAACGATTTGACATTGTTTCGTAAACGATTTATAATTGTCGATATTTTACAATGGATAAATTGATACGAGGAAGGAGAACAAACGTATAACAACATACGTCATATATATATACATCATAATCGATAATTAATACAATTACTATTGGTCCCCATCTCATGTGTATGCGTGTGTGTGTACTCATCTCATCGTAATGAAGATTTTATTCGTAAACGTTTAACATCAATTCACATGTCATTTGTTTAAGGAAGAAGAAAAAAATAAAAGAAAGAAAATAAAAGATAAAAAAATAAATAATAATAATAATAGTAATAATAATAATAATAATAATAATAATAATAATAATAATAATCTAGCATTTACGTATCAGGGGGGAAGAAACACAAACACACACATACACACTTACCCCTCGCGTCTCAGTCTCGTGTCCTCAATTTTTATTTTTTCGCATGAACAACGTGGAAAAAGCTTAAAGATATATACAAGCCATTGTAAAATGAAGTACAACACACATCGTGTATTTCTTTTTTCTGGTTAATCCATACTCCCCTCCCTTCAACCCTTTTGTCGTTACAAAGAAGAAGAATAAAAAATAAGAAAAAAAAAAAGAAGAAGAAGAATGAACGAACGAAAAATATTGACTTAACAATATACATACATACATACATATATGTATATAATATATGTATATGTAAGAAAGAGATAAAAAAAAGGAATAATGGGGAAAGGTTTTTACCACTGCATCATCACAAAACTGAACTTTTTACTCGAAGAAAAAAAAGTGTTTTGTTGTACCAACGTTTGTTGTATTGTTATTATTGCTATTATTATTATTATTGTTGTTATTATTATTATTATTGTTGTTTAATGTAAACGTGAAATCATTGACCCGGAAGTAGGAAGCAAGGAGTTTCCAAAAGCCCTCGCAACTACTGTGTGGTAAGAGTTGGAAGAGTAAACTTGAGTTGCATAAGCAAAGCATAGCTGACAAAACCGCGACCATGACACAACAAGGGATGAGAAAGATGGGGGAAGCAAAAGGTGGGGGTGGAAATAGGAGTGGTAGAGTAGAAGGATGTGATATGAGGAAAATGACATGGAGAATGAACGTTTCTCACTCACACTCCTTTACCAATCCCTCTCTCTGGTGTACACCCACACCCCAACCCCCTTTATTCCACTCATCGATTAAACCACACAATGAAATTTGTGGAATGTTAAATAATAATAATGATAATAGAGTATTCTAATGGTTGAATATTATCTCTTCCAACTCACACAAGTATTATTATATGCGTATACACTTGGGATTTGTAAATATTATTGTATATTTCTTGTTTTTTGTTGTTGCATTTTTATAGAAACGAAGGAAAAAAATATAGTTCGTCGTATTTCGTTTGTGTTAATATTCCAGGCAAAGCAAAGTATTATTCTCTACGTTTATTATATGGATTCATTATTTCATTTTTTTTTTTTTTTTTATTTAAAAGAAGAAAAAATAAAGATGATTTGTAAAGTGAAAAAAAAAATCCTGGAATGAGAAAGATTAATCGAACGAAATGATCTTGGAAAATTCTTTATCTTTAAATGAGAATAAGAATTAAAAAAAAAAGAAAATATTCTTGATGATAACACGCACATAAATGAGAAAAAATAAATAATAACAAAAAAAAAAATAACCAAAAACATTCAATCGAATAATAAAGATTTGTAACTTTTGGTGGTTTGGAAAAAAAGAAAAGATAAAAAAAAGAAGAAGAAAATAAAAAAAGAAGTAAAAATAAAATAAAAGAAAAGAATTTTTATCGAATCAATGGTGGTAAATAAATAAATATATATAAGAAAAAAATGTAATATTAGATTTTAAACTAGAAATTATACGAATAAATTGTCACAAAATATGTATTATGTACATATTATTCTATTATTATTATTATTATTCTATATATTATCTTTTATTACGGAATATGTTTAAATTATCGAAATAAGATGATTATAAATCTCATGGATTAAAATATAATAAATAATTAGTCAGGGTGGGTTGTGTTCGTCGGTGTTCGTTGTTCCCAAATAAATCGTTCGACTTTTATTCTCAACGTTGTCGCATATTTTAATGGTCGAGAAAAAAAAGAAAAAAATTTATGAGAATGATGGTTGTGGTTGTTATTTATGGGTAATAGTGTATGCTATGAAAAAAACAAAAACAAAAAAAAAAAGAACAAAAATGAAAAAGACACGTATCATTAGCTAGACAATCCTAAATGTTTCATAAGCAAAACCCACACACAGATGTGTTTGTATGTGATGTAAATCAAAAAACGAAAAGAAGAAAAAAAAAGAAAGAAAGAAAGAAAACTTATTAAGAAATACAAATTAATCGTAAAAAAAAAAAAAAAAATATAAGGAAACACTTGTGAACATTGTTAAAATAAAATATATATATATATATATAAATATAGCGTTTTAAATGATATGACGAAAATAGTACTATAAAATAATCTATAAAACACCATAAATTATGCTTTTCGTCATTGCTTTTCTCAAGGAAAAAAAAAAACAAATAAAAGAAAAATATAATGAATAGATAAAAAAAAAGAAATAAATGAAATGTATATTAATAAATAAATTTATGGCACCGTGGTTTTACTAATGCGTATATATGTATTTATAGCCGCAAGTAACTATTAGACGAACGTTAAATGCATCAAAAGGTTTCCTAAATTTATTAATAAAACTAAACTCTTTCTTTATCTAACTAACTATCTATCTATCTATCTATCTATCTATCTATCTCTCTTTCTCTCTATCTCTCTTTACCTCTTATTTCATAAAGAAGTTCAATCTCATTGGAGAAAGAGAGATAGAGATAGCGAGAGATTTACCTTGGAGCTATTTAATACACTAATACACACATTAAATGAATATTTGTGGTCTCTTGGATCTCATAAATGAAATTTTCAAAGTTGCGTATACTACGTAGGAATTTCGAAAGCTTTGAAACACACAAAAATATATATTATATTATATGTGTATATTAAATACTCTTCGCCTAATTCTTTTTCTTCTTTTAATTAACATTTTAAAAAATTAAATTGTTTTTTTTTCTATTTATATCGACAAATATTTTTCCTCAATCCGTAGAAATAAAAAAAAAAAAAAAAATTCGAACGTGTACGTCTACTTCCTTGGAGTAAAAATTTTCTGACTGCTTTTTTTTCTTTTTTTTTCGAGAATTTCTTCTAAAAAGAAAAAGGAAAGAGAAAAAAGAAAAGAAGAAAAAAAATTTCCTTCGTTAGTGATGATTAGTCAGTATTAAAAATTATACGATTTAAACGTAGAAACGAATTAAAGGTGTAATAATAATAATAATTATAATAATAATAATAATAATAATAATAATAATAATAATAATAATTATAATAATTGAAAACATAAAAAAGAAAAAAAAATATAAGTAGTGTGTGTACTACGAATACGATATTAAAAGAAAAAAAAATGAATACGTCGTCTCGATGTAATCGTTAGAAATTAAAAAATGATATGTATAGAAATTATAATCAATGTAAAAAAGAAACGCCGTGATAGTGTTTAAACA